CATAGTTAACCGCGGTTACCATAGATTAAAATTTAACTTTTGTTCCGATCTATGCAGTATGAACTTATGGTATCTTGAAGTCTTGCAGTTGTATGCTTGGGTTGGGATTTAATTTTATTTATTATAGGATCCCAAGCAGATGGTAGCACCCAGCCATCTTCTCTATTGAAATTAGGATGTTTTTTGATTTCAATAGCCTCGCGAATCATCCTTGGAAGGAATCGGTGTTCTTTAGCGACGATTTGCGGTCTATCAAATCTGATGTAGTGACGGGGGCGATCCTGTACGTGTTCACAGACTGCAGACTTCCCGGAGCGTCGATTCTTCACATCAGCTATATGTTCTTTAATGCGGGTTTTTATTGATCTTTTAGTTTGTCCTATGTAGGAGAGACCACATTCACAATCAAGCTTGTACACTCCTGCATCTTACAGAGGGACATTACACTTGACTGATGGAAAAAACTGACCAATCTTCTTCAGCGGCTTGAAGTATGTTTTGATGGAAGCGCGCTTCAAGATGTAGCCAATCTTGTCAGTGACTCCTCTAACATATGGCAGTACAGCAGGTACACGCTCGACTGTGGCCGGCTTCACTCTTTGACTGTGACGTAGGCGCGGGACTCGAAGCTTGTTGTCCTGCAAAACTTGCTTGACATGGTGGAGTCCTGATAACACCTTGAGCCATACTGTGTATAGAAAAAAGACCCATACAGATAGATATTTAAACGGTGATTCTCACCACCATCCTTCACAGTTAGCTACCGTGGGTAAATCTTTGTTTCAGAGAGCACGAGGGATCTGTGACAGTAAACACCTGGCTGCAGAGCTCCACCATGTCAAGCAAGTTTTGCACGACAACAAGCTTCGAGTCCCGCGCCTACGTCACGGTCAAAGAGTGAAGCCGGCCACAGTCGAGCGTGTACCTGCTGTACTGCCATATGTTAGAGGAGTCACTGACAAGATTGGCTACATCTTGAAGCGCGTTTCCATCAAAACATACTTCAAGCCGCTGAAGAAGATTGGTCAGTTTTTTCCGTCAGTCAAGTGTAATGTCCCTCTGTAAGATGCAGGAGTGTACAAGCTTGATTGTGAATTTGGTCTCTCCTACATAGGACAAACTAAAAGATCAATAAAAACCCGCATTAAAGAACATATAGCTGATGTGAAGAATCGACGCTCCGGGAAGTCTGCAGTCTGTGAACACGTACAGGATCGCCCCCGTCACTACATCAGATTTGATAGACCGCAAATCGTCGCTAAAGGGCTATTGAAATCAAAAAACATCCTAATTTCAATAGAGAAGATGGCTGGGTGCTACCATCTGCTTGGGATCCTATAATAAATAAAATTAAATCCCAACCCAAGCATACAACTGCAAAACTTCAAGATACCATAAGTTCATACTGCATAGATCGGAACAAAAGTTAAATTTTAATCTATGGTAACCGCGGTTAACTATGACATATGGACGTTGAACATCTCAGTCCCGCCCGTGACCATGAGTGCTGTAAAGCGTTCGAAACGTCGGGTATTTAAAAAGTTAAATATACGCGATAAATTCCGTAAAAACTAGTATTATTCCGCTGTTAAACTTCGTGCTAAACGAATATTCATTCGTGTGACATTTGATGGACAAAAACATTATTTAAAATGTTCTTGCTAATTATCAGGAAATATGGGATTTAAATAAAAATATAACTGATGTAGAATCGAATTAAATAACATACCTTTCTTAGTATACAAAAACACTATATGATTAATCGCTTAAAAAACGAGAACTCCAACATTAAATATTTTTCCCCGCAATTAAATTATAACTCTTTTTATCTAGATTAATATAAAGTATTTAACAAAAAACTATTCCGTTCAGAATTTAATTGAGTATTTTATGTATGGGCATATTGTTTGGGAGTATATACTATTTCAATAAGTATGAATTCTCGCGCGTCAAAATCGTGTCTAAAATACGATATTTTTGTCCAACCTGGTCTTAGGAGGCAGCCAACAAATCATAGAAAACCGTTCTGTGATGATCATATGTGGTTGATAATCATTTCCTTTCGTCGAGACCAGGAAAATAACGAAAAATAATATAAAAATAAAACCATCCACCACCTATCAAAAGTCCACAGAACATGGGCATAGCTACTAATCTATGGAAGATTGCCTCATTGGTAAATAATAAATATACCCCATATTTACCACAGTTGTTACGCTTGGCTTTTAATTCTTGACTTGTTATTAGGATGATGCTGCCACTCATCTCCATGCTCCTTTTACACGGGTGATATAAAATAGTGGGTTATTGTACACAGCGAAATTAAAAAAAATTAAGATGGTAATAATCAAAAGAAGTTATTAAATAGCCAGCATTTTTTATAAGATAGAGTGACAAACGAGCACACAGTCCACCTGATGGCAATTGGTTGCTGCGGCCCATAGACATCTACATCTATCCTCGATTACAAATAAAAATGCAAATGCGTTGTCACCCGTGAGGACTAAGATGGAATGCCTCGTTGCCAGTAAAAAGTGCTTTAAATCTTTATGTATTTTTCCATATATATTGTTACTCCTTATCAATGATCTAAGCACCTACTGTACTTACTTTTAAGTCTCTGGTTCTCTACACTCACCATACGAAACAGAGCAGTATTAAGCTACTATTTTACGCTGGTATTCTGTGAGAGCGTGATCCTTCCCCGGTCGAGCCGACCCATTCTTGCTTCAACTATAATACTAATATAACTGCAGCATAGCTATAAGATTATCTAAGAGAAAAGTCTTAAATCTTAATACTTTTGAAAGAGAATGCTTTTCAATACTTGACCCTTGGTAATAAATCATTAGCGTAAACAAAAAAACTATAATGAATGGTTTTGTAATTGTTTAAAGAAAAAAAATCATTATCACTACAAATCAAATATATACACATTAATCATAAGATTTACGTGATATGGGCGACGCAACTGCTTAACAATTAACATCTGTCGCAACACTTTCGTGTCGCCTGCACTGCACTGTCAACTAATTTTGTGATCCAATTTGTTTTTTTTTTTTTCAAAAAAATATATCCAATAATATCTATCGCACTAACAATTTCTCCTAAATCCTGCCGTATCGTAGTGTATGTATGTATTGCATGGTATGTATGTTTTTACATAATTTGCCTATGGATAAACACTCAAACCAGAAACGGAATTTGTAGGCCATGATGTCTTGTTCCGTGCGAAAATCGGAGATTTTCAGTGAATGTTGGCGCTTTTTACATTTCCACGAAATGTAAAATTAAAATTGCAATAAACAGTTTAGTGTTTTGCTAGTAGATATCTAACTCATACTTTGAAAATGAAAGATAGAGGTCCTATCAATTGAGAAAACCTGTGGCAATCATTGATTTTATGCATTATTTAAATATGTGTGTGTGCGTTTAAAAGGGAGGCCTAGGATTTTCAAAACAGGATTAAGACAGCATCATTAAAAACAAGCTTAAATTATATTAATTTAAATTTGGTAGATTACACGCTAATAAATCGCTATAATATAGGGTCATTTGAAATTGTTAACATTCAAGGTATGTGAAAAAACGTATAAGATCTTGTGCATTCAGTTAAAATAGATTATTAGTTTATAAACCGATAGTGTTCACAAAAAAAAATCTGTACAGTTTCGTTATGACAGGTTACAAATAAAAATTAATTCACATGAGTGTTTTATGATGGATGACAAGGCTTGAACCTTAGGACAGTTAAATACAGTTAAGAAAAAACGTTAAGATATTGTAAAGATACGCATACAGTTAACTGAAACATATTTTTTACAATATAATTAGAAATCAATGAGTTGACCATTTTAGAATTCGAATAAGCAACAACATAATATAAAGAAGAAATTTTCTCGAGTGGCAGTCTCGTACCGGTAAGCATAGATTTAGGCAGCTCCCCTTTATATGAAAAGGCTACCTGATGCAGCCTATGTGTGCTGGCAGCTCAGGATCATGCTTTGTGGCAATCTATGGAGAAGGCCTCAGTTCAGGAGTGGACTTATAATTAGCTATTAATGTTGATGATGGCGATAATGTATTAGAAAAAAATGTAAACATGTAAAAAATTATTCCTGCTCGTATAAATAATCAATGTCATTTCTGTGAGACAGTAGTTTTTAAAAGAGATTGCTTGAATATCAATAAACTAAATTAAATGAAATTATTTCTAAATTTGGAACATAATATATACATATTTGGAGTTTAAAGTTAAGGAACTATTCAGCGAGACGTTTGCTTGCAGGAATGAGAACAATGTGGAATCCGCCGTGAATAATCCGCCTCGGCGCCAATTCGATAAGTATAGCGTGATCAGTTTATAGCGGGCTACAAGAACGAGTGCAAAATAGCGTTTAAGGCCATCGTGCAATAATCCCATTTCCACGGTGCAGGTTCGTAGACCCCCGACGAGCCGCGATGCCGCGGTGAGGCTCGCGTGACGCCGCACGCTGCCCAGCGGTTTAATTAATCTAATTGAATACGAACAACAGCGCTGACTACTCTTTAGCCATGGACTCAATCTCGCCTGTCTGCGGGATTAGCGCAATTAAATAATTAACTACATGTCCAACTACTGTTGACTAATACGACCAAATTATTAAGATCGAATTTAAAGGATATAATCTGTATAGTTTTCCGTCATATTAAACAATTCTCCTCCTCCTAGGAATACCCTTAACCGACGAGCATGTGTGCGATGTGCGTAGGTATATGGATGTGAATGAGGCAAGAGAGGTGTGTCTGGATCGTGCCAAATGGAAGTCTGTAGTCTCTGCCTACGCCTCTGGGTGACAGGCGTGAGTGTTTATGCTATATATTTATGCAACATTTCTGTTGTAGCGGTGAGTATTTCCGGCGTTATAAGCTTATAAGTTATCGGCAAACATTCTCTTGTGGTGCATTTTTGAAAAATAACTATATTGTATCACCTACCACTGGAGCACAATAAGTAATTGTCATACGACAAGCAAACACCAATCACAAACTTTTATAAATTCAGAAATACACCACAAGCAGAGGTTGTTTGCGATGCCGTGCCGGCCGGCGGCGCGCGATAAGGGCGCGGCGGAGTGTTCGCACAGGCGGAGGCGGGAGCGGGCGCGGCGCACGTGTGTCGGTGATGTGACGTGTGAGGACTCACATGTGTGCAAATCGGGGTGCGAGCGCCGCTGGTGGCGGGCGGAGCGAGGAGCGGGTCGCGGATAGTTGCGCAGTGGTGGCGGGTCGCGGTGGCCGTTCGCGCGGCCGGTGTCTCGGGGACTGGCGCGCGTCGCGCCCGGAGCCCGAGGCCCCCGCGCGCGCCCCTCCGACGCGAGCGCCCCGCGCCCTCCAGATGTTGCCGCCGACTGCCGAGCGCCCCGCTCGCACAAACTTCCAGATTCCGACACGACACGATACTTGTCGACGATTTGCATTTTTTTCGAATTTCATGCTCTCCCAAGCGCCGGGATTAAGATGGGTCGAAAATCGATTTATGCATTTGCACATTTATTGCACTGCTCTACCTAGATAGTCGTTGCTAATGAACGTATAAGCAACTTAATGTTAAATGTCAATGAATGATATCTTGTACGGTCTTAAATTTTTTTTAATGCGAACTAAGCTGGGATCAGGGATATAACTATTTTCATCCTTACACGTTGAAGGCAATTATTTTACGACAGAGCCTTTGGTGTAAATAAAAAATATAAACTTTATAAAAGAACAATATCATATGACCATAGTGCTGAAACTTAGAGAGAGCACCGAGACGATGCTAGAGGAACAAGTACTGCTACTCGGAACGAAGGCGACGACCCCGCACGGCCACGCTCTGCCGCGTTCAGCGCCGCTTCGCCAAAACCTCGCACTTCACTTTTCCACAACTAGGAATCCCAGACGCATCACCCGTGAAATTATCGCAATACTGAAGCAGATTGTAACTTTATTTGTTTTCTTCTTAAATAAATTTGAATAATAATAAAAAAACAGATATTTAAAATAAATATCGTTAGGATGGTTTAATAATTAAAACTAAAACCATACAAAGACGTACTAGGTGCTGAAAAAATCAAAGTAACAAAATATAATTTTAATTAAAATGATAAAAAAATTACAACAATGTTATTGAGATGAAAAATGAAAAAGTAACAAAAAACGTTTGTATTTTTTCATTTATCGTAACACTTTTCTGAAACTGAAAAAAAATAACAACTATCGTTCTTATTTAAATAAAGAGTTTACAGCCTTGTTAAATAGTAACATATACAATTACTCAGACACATTACCTCTGATTTTAGTCGTGACTGTCACACACTATCTCAAAGGATTGCAAAATAAATATAATGTTTTAATAAATCGTTATTTCAACGACTTTGCAGCACACTTTTACTGCAATTGAACTCTATGAATTTCTCAATGTCGCTCGAAACTTACGAAATCTAAATTTGAATACGGACTACGGGACAAATTTACCAATATTATACCAATTTCAATCTTTATCCTCATATACATATAAAGGTATGTTAGTCATACTGTTTTTATGGAATAATGTGTCGAGTCACAATCTACCACAGAGGCCCATAGACATATTTACATCCATCCTCAATCAAGAATCAAAATGCAGATGGTGTGACGACTACTGAGGACTAAGACGGAACGCATCATAGCAAATAAAAGGGTCTTTTTCGGTTCTCATACATTCCGTTTACGAAGTGTTAACTTCAACTAAAAAGATTTTAAAGCAACTCTTTTTTTTTACAATGTTATTTTTCTCAAGTGAATGGCTAATATCCTTGAGCTGCTTAAAGTTTCTTAGCATTTATATAAGATAGATGCATAAAAGACAACCAACAGGCAATAAAAGCAACATGGGGTACTTGATGAGGTGTGGACAATGTATTCGTGGATTAGCCAATCTGGTAAACAATGGAGACATTAAAGGGTGGCCGGATAAGGCGAAGTTTGGTCTTGCCGTGCTGAATCTCAAATGAGGCTCTACATCGCCAGCAGATCGGTTCCGATCGTAAACGTCTAGCTCCAACTATTACAGCATTGTATGACTCACAATGAATTGCAAAACAGGTATGGCAGTAAATTGATGCTTCGCCTTGCGCAAAACAGGTGAAAGTTTGAACATCTGGAGGGTAATTCATGGTACGGATACGGCCAAGTCCATATACGTGAGATATTTTGGTGCAGTTGGTCGTAAAGATGCAAGATAACAATCTACCAAATTGTAGTATGAAAAAATATTATTTGTATGTTTATGTGGTGTGAAGCATTTAAAAGAAACCTTGATAGTGTTAATTGGTCGTGATAAATTATAATAGTTTTTCTAATGGAAATAATGCGATTTATTGGAATCAATTCCTTTTTTTCTGAATTTCTTTATATAATTTGAGAAATGCAAAATTTATTAGATTTATATCACAGACCTTGATAAACCTGATTAAATCAAATAAAATAAACCGTATTATTTATATTTAAAAAAAAAACTACAAAAGGAATTGTTGTGCTCTGTATCGTGGAGGCGTTTCACATACATAAATTGCTTATATATAAACATCCAGACACAAAAAAAAGTTTTGTAGGCATACAAGCACTTGTTACTTCGATTTTTTCGAGATTCGAAACCGTGGCACCAAAGCGCCGCGCCGGAGCCAATCGCTAAGCCACTGCGCCATCATTTAATGTAATATTGATCTAAGATTCTTAGATCTTGGTATTAAAGGTAAATTCCTTTTTTTTTTAAATAAAATAAGGTTGACAAACAATCACACTGTCCACTGATGGTAAGTGGGATGCTATGATCAAAGGCATCTAAGTACATCTATCCTTGATTAAAAATCAAAATGCAGATTTATTGTCATACCTGAAGATTAAGAACGATGAAGAATACCTCGTTTCTAGCAAAAACGATCTCCGGTTCTCTATACTCACGATACGAAACAGCAGCGTTAAGCTGCTATTTTATGTTGATATTCAGTAAGATCCATCCGAATTCGACCGTCTTCAAGGCAAGAGTGAATAGGCATTTGTTACGCTAAGACAGTACGATTTACCATCTATGGCTGCATCACCACTTACCATCAGGTGGAGCTGTGGTCAAGCACTGGCTTATAAAAAGTAAAAAAAAAGAGTGTGATCCTACTCCGGTAGTGACGACTCCTTCGTGCTATAATAACCATGATATAGTTGCAGCAGGGCTCTATCACATGTATCACATAAGACGAAGACTAATTGTCCAAATACAATATGTTCGCAAAGTATATCAGCTGAAATAAAGATCTTAATACGATGGAGGAAGCGAAGAGATGCCCACGCTTAGCACTATAGGCAAAAAATTTTTTTAAAAAATTTTTACGTTTTTTTTTTTTAAATTTTAATCTAATACCACGTATTACTAATACAATAATATTGATAGTATAATAACCTCGTTAGTAATGTACAAGACATTTTATGCTAGTTGTTGCGGTTGATTCCAAGAAAATATTTTATTACGAACACAATATATAGACTGCATCGATGAGGCACTGTTACCGAGCGGATGTCACGAAGACTATTTTAAAGCTTCGTATTTCGAAGACGCCAATTATGGATCATCACTCATCCGTGCGATATTTTTTAAATAATTAAAAAATATCGCACCTTTTTTTATTTTTTACTTATTTGTTAAAAATAATCGAAACTAATCTTTCGTTAATCTGTTATTTGCAATATTCACTACGCCATATCAACCAGTAGTGATGTAAGCGGCGACAGAGGAAAATAACAATTGAAAGTAATAAAAAAAAACTGCAGTTGCGAAACCACCTGCCAATCGTAACAACTATGGAAAAAGCTTTTTTTGCCTTGACTTACACTCCACAGACTACTAAAAAGTAACGATAGAAATCACACAAAATTCACGGCTCGTGAAGTCAATCTGTTAGTAATTATTTTGTTAGCAACGTTTGAGAATTCTTTGTGAACACTCTCGTCTACTCTGTGCGACTGTTTGACCATCGACTATTATGTGTTTGACAATTAACATTATAATAAAGATATTAACAGTCACCTTGCAACCATCCACTTAATTAAATAAAATGATGTGTCTTCCCTAGTTTGAAGAGCACCTCCCGCCCTCCCTCAATTGCGTGCACTAATCCCGTCACCACTAATCCCAGCACCACTACTCCCAACACCACTATTCTAGGAAAGACACATAATCGACGATAATACGGCACGTGTGTCGCCTCTACACGAGGCATCTTCAGGTGATATTGACTCTATGGCGGCAGACCACTTAGCTTAGCCGCTGACCGCTTTGATGGAGGGCGGAAGGTTCTATTCAAACTAGGGAAGACACACCATTTTGTTTAATTAAGCGGATTGTTGCAAAGTAACTGTTAATATCTTTATTATAATGGATTTCCAAGCCGTGGTAGCTCAATGGTTAACGCTCGCTGTAAATATAACAGAACGCGAGTAACCCGGGTTCGATCCCCGCTGGCACCAATGAAATTGTTAGTTGCAATTTTAAGTGCTGATTTACCACGTGCTCGGCGGTGAAGGAAAACATCGTGAGGAAACCTGCATGTCTGAGGAATAAGAAAAAAAATATTTCGAAAACATGTGAAGTTCGTCAACACGCATTTGGGCAGCGCGGCGGACACTTCCTTGCCCAAAACCCTCTCAGAAATGTGGGGAGGCCTGAGCCCAGCAGTGGGACGTATATAGGCTGTAACTTTACTTTTACTTTTTTAATGGATTTCCGCAAAGTAACGCCTGATTCTATCAATTAATTAACATTCGCAGTATGAACGTAAACAATGAATGATTTTATTTTATTTTATTCAATGTAATATTTGTAAAATTTATTATATATAAATTATAGATTTTTGCACTCCTTCTCCATACGAACTTTTACTACTTATATCAAATTTAACACTCCTCCGTGCGCGCAATTTGCTTATACAGGGGATCAAGTTTTCCCTTCACGTATATTAATTAAATTACGTAGGTAATTTATAGATACCTACTGTTAATATGTATACTGTCTTTACTCATGTGCTGTGTACTTCGAAATTCAACAATAAAAATATTTTTAACACAGTTATTGAACAAACACCTCAAAACTGCTATAGGTATGTAATGTATTGCATACATAAATTATACACCATAAACTAAGAAACATTATAAAACAAAGACAGTAATAAACTTTCGTAGAAAATTAATAAAAAAACACATAAAGGATTCTTTTTATTCTATGATGTATTTAACGTGTGTACGAAAACGTCGGCGGTCGACGAACTGGCGCATGCAAAAACGACGTGCTCTAGTCTACTGTGGTGCATTGCACGAGCAGCGACGGGTCGCATAGTCGCTGCACGATCGTCGATCGACGAACATGTTAAACTTGTTTTTATTTTTAAGTATTTTTTTATTTCTTGAA